AGATTCGAGTTGCTTTCTATGTACAAAAGGCAGCTTTTCAATTCATTCATGGTAAGATATCCAGTGTTGAATTTTAAGAGAGATGCAGAATTTAACAAATTTAAGGAGATTTGGTTTATATGGCTATGTAAACTTTCTAATTTCTTATTGTATTTCTCTCTAGCTGCTGCTCGGCCAGAATACAAGCTCACTGATGAGGTTAAGGAAGCCGGATTTTCTATTGAAGCAGACGAACTTGCATCTATGGTTAGCAATCATGACACTAAAACCCTGGCAACCAATGGTGGAGTTGAAGAACTTGCAAAGAAACTATCTGTATCTCTCTCTGAAGGTGTCCACTCGAGTGATCTGCCCATCAGGGAAAAGATCTTTGGAGAAAATCGCTACCCTGAGAAACCAGCTAGATCATTTTTAATGTTTGTTTGGGAAGCGCTCCAAGACATAACCCTTATCATTCTTATGGTCTGCGCTGTAGTATCGATAGGCGTGGGTGTTGCCACAGAAGGATTTCCAGGGGGAATGTATGATGGGACGGGGATCTTGCTAAGTATACTCTTGGTGGTAATGGTTACTGCGATCAGTGACTACAAGCAATCTTTGCAGTTCATAGACTTGGATAGAGAGAAGAAGAAGATTATTGTTCAGGTCACTAGAGATGGGAACAGACAAGAAGTCTCCATTCATGATTTGGTTGTTGGAGATGTGGTTCATTTATCTATTGGGGATCAAGTTCCAGCTGATGGGATTTTTATATCTGGATACAACTTGGAGATAGACGAGTCAAGCTTATCGGGCGAGAGCGAACCATCACATGTGAATAAAGAGAAGCCTTTTCTGCTTTCAGGAACCAAAGTTCAAAATGGTTCTGCAAAAATGTTGGTGACAACAGTTGGTATGAGGACTGAGTGGGGAAAGTTGATGGAGACGCTGGTTGATGGTGGAGAAGATGAGACTCCTTTGCAAGTGAAGCTAAATGGGGTTGCAACAATAATTGGTAAGATTGGTTTAAGCTTCGCTGTGCTTACATTTGTGGTATTGTGCATAAGGTTTGTCTTGGAGAAGGCATCGTCTGGTAGCGTCACGGAGTGGTCATCTGAAGATGCATTAACGCTACTTGACTACTTTGCAATTTCTGTAACTATCATTGTTGTTGCCGTACCCGAAGGTTTGCCACTGGCAGTGACCTTAAGTTTGGCATTTGCTATGAAGAAACTGATGAGTGACAGGGCACTTGTGAGGCATCTGGCTGCCTGTGAGACTATGGGTTCTTCTACTTGCATCTGCACTGATAAGACAGGGACCTTAACTACTAACCACATGGTGGTCAACAAAGTTTGGATATGTGATAAGGTTCAAGAGAGGCAAGAGGGAAGTACAGAAAGCTTTCAGTTGGAACTACCAGAAGAAGTTCGAAGCATTCTTTTGCAGGGTATATTTCAGAACACTGGTTCTGAAGTCGTTAAAGATAAAGATGGAAACACTCAGATCCTAGGTTCCCCAACAGAAAGAGCAATACTCGAATTCGGTTTGCTTTTAGGTGGTGAATTTGTTTCTCAACGTAAAGAGCATAAGATACTCAAGATCGAGCCGTTCAATTCAGACAAGAAGAAAATGTCTGTTCTTATAGCTCTTCCTGACGGTGGCGCACGAGCGTTCTGCAAAGGTGCATCTGAAATAGTGTTGAAAATGTGCGAGAATGTTGTGGATTCGAATGGAAAATCCGTTCCACTAACTGAAGAACGTATTACAAATATATCTGAAATCATAGAGGGTTTTGCCTCAGAAGCTCTGAGGACTCTCTGCTTGGTTCACAAAGATTTAGATGAAGCTCCCAGTGGTGATCTCCCTGATGGAGGCTATACAATGGTAGCAGTTGTTGGAATCAAGGATCCAGTACGTCCAGGTGTTAGGGAAGCCGTTCAGACTTGTCAAGCTGCTGGAATCACCGTTCGTATGGTCACTGGAGATAACATAAGCACAGCTAAAGCAATTGCTAAAGAATGTGGCATATATACTGAAGGAGGTTTAGCTATAGAAGGTTCACAATTCCGGGATTTGCCTCCTCACGAAATGAGAGCCATTATACCCAAAATTCAGGTTCTTTGACATTGAAGATAGAAATGAATTGTTATCGTTGACCAGTCTCTAGAAAATCTTAAACTTGTTTCTGCCTTTAGGTAATGGCTCGGTCTCTTCCATTGGACAAGCATACTTTAGTCAGCACCTTGAGGAAAATTGGAGAAGTGGTTGCAGTGACTGGAGACGGGACAAATGATGCCCCTGCATTGCATGAAGCAGACATTGGACTTGCAATGGGAATAGCTGGAACAGAGGTAAACCTTAATTATTCTCTGTTACTTGTTTGGTTGATAAGAAAACACGAGATTAACATTTCATTTCTGTATCAATTATTGATATGCAGGTTGCGAAAGAGAATGCTGATGTGATCATAATGGACGATAACTTTAAAACAATAGTGAATGTGGCTAGATGGGGACGTGCTGTGTATATAAACATTCAGAAGTTTGTTCAGTTTCAGCTAACTGTCAATGTCGTTGCTCTAATCATCAACTTCGTCTCTGCTTGCATCACAGGTATCAATCACAAACACTTCTAATGTTATGTCATGGACTCATGATATAACCGTTTCTTTTGGTACGTTTTCAGGATCTGCTCCACTTACGGCTGTGCAACTGCTTTGGGTTAACATGATCATGGACACACTAGGTGCATTGGCTCTAGCAACAGAACCTCCCAATGATGGTTTAATGCAACGCCCACCAATCGCTAGAACCGCTAGCTTCATCACCAAAACCATGTGGAGAAACATTGCCGGTCAAAGCGTTTACCAGTTGATTGTCTTGGGAATTCTCAATTTCGCAGGCAAATCTATCCTCAAACTCGATGGCTCAGACTCCACAGCCGTTCTTAACACTGTCATCTTCAACTCATTCGTCTTTTGCCAGGTACCACTCCAAAAACAAAAACTAACTCAATCCTTAATTAATTTAACCCGTAAGTTCTAACTTGAGAATCAAAATGGCATACAAAAACAGGTATTCAATGAGATCAATAGCCGCGAAATAGAGAAGATAAATGTATTCAAAGGAATGTTCAATAGCTGGGTCTTCACAGGAGTAATGACTGTGACCGTATTCTTTCAAGTGATCATAGTGGAGTTTCTTGGAGCATTCGCGAGCACCGTTCCATTGAGCTGGCAACATTGGTTACTATCAATCGTGATAGGATCATTGAGCATGATTGTAGCCGTTATCCTCAAATGTATACCCGTCGAGTCTTCTTCTCACCATCACGATGGCTACGACCTACTTCCTTCTGGTCCTTCTTCCTCCAATTCGGCATGATACCATTTCTATGTTCATCTTTTTTTTGGTTATCAGGACAGTGATACTCAAATATGTAAGTTTCCTACTTTGATTATTTTGGATACTGCAAATTCTTATCTTTACCACAAATCGAAATTTTTGTGTTCATTTAGCCCAAATCCTCTACACGGTTGTAATGTGACTCTCTCTTTTGTTCTGTAACGGGTGCTCTTCTTTTGCAAAATTCGAGTTACATTGTGCTAATAACTTCAGCTCCAAGGTAAGTTAAGCCCTAGTGAGTAGAGGAGTTACTTGAGAAAACAAAAAAAAAACATATACCTATCTCGTTTAAAGCAAGAAAAACGATCCTGACCGTCGGATCTTGCTATTGTACTTGTTATCATCGGATTATATTGTTACCTCAAAGAGCAAAAAGTAAAATACTAACTAAGAAAAATCATTTACTGTGTAATTTATTTTCTTAAGCTTACGTCTAGTTCTAGATAATATATTTGATTAGCGTAGATGAGTAGATCTATCATCTATGACATTCTCACGTCATAAAAAGGTGGAAACCATCTTTGCCTAAATGCAAATAATTTACCTTTTTGATGAAAAGAAAGCAATAATTTTGCATTACAATATACCAAAAGTGCTATATAATACTATGCAAAAACGGCAAAAAGTTCTTAAAATAATTTTTTTTTTGCATCAAACTTATATAGTTTCCATTTCCGGAAGTATAAACACTTTATCAAAAGAAAATCAAATTATGAAACACTTTCTAATTTTAATTTAAAAACTTAATCACGCCGCGTGACGAAAATCTTTGGAAGAAAAGCAACAACTGTACGGACGTCATTCTCAGCCCTCAGATGTCAGTTTTCCAATAAACCGAAGTTTCGCGGGACCCACTCGGTTTACCAACTTAATTACCCTTTTGCCATCACAGATTTCATTACGACTCGTCTTTCTTCCTAACCGTCCGATCAAAAAACAACCAATCCGTACGTACAACTCAAACACACACGAATATTATTTCCCACTGTACAAAACAAACAGAAGACCGTAGTCAAAAACATAAGTCAACTAATCTGACGGTTGAGATTCGGTTTTTTGTCGTGGGTCCCCACAAATATCGGAAACGGCAAAACGGGAATCCACTTTATTTTTCCCCCTCCACGCGCCTCCGTTGATTCTTCCCATTTGTAGCCTCCCCCGTTCACCGTTTAA